TTCCATTTCAATGATGCCCGGCCGTGCCACGCCACGCCCCGCCCGTGCAGCGCACTTGCCCTGCATTCGAATGCCGCGCCGTCGCCGGCGGAGCAGCGGCAGCAGCGCGCGGGTCGATTTGAATTTCCGATTTGAATTTATTTTTGTTGCCGCTTGAGAGTCCGATAAGTACGTGGTGCGGCTGATGGGCCCCGACATTGTCATCGGGCGTCCGTTAGCGGCCCATCTGCGTAGGGCATTCTTGACGAGCGGAGCGGCCGGCTGGTGGCCGCGTCCGTCTCGTCTGCGCCATACCCCGCCCCGCCCCGCCCCGCCACGCCCGCAAAGGCGCCACGTGGCGCCCGACGCAACACCGCCCGTACGGAGGCGGCATTAATGTGTGACGGAGGGCGTTCCCGGGGCGTTCCCGGGGCGGGGCGACGTGGAGCGGCGACCATCAGTCAAACTAACGCTCTGCTGCGCCTCGCGCCGCCCACCGCGAGTGTGAGGGCAGAGAAAGCAACCGCGAGGATTCATTTTCAAGTCAAACGTAATCTGACTTCTCTTATAGTCTTATAAAAATACACAACGTTTTGCCTGATTTTAAAAGAATTTTTGAAGTGTACTCGGCATATACGCATTGAGCATGGAGCGGCAGCTGCAGGCCGGTGGAGGGAAGCAAAGTAGGGATTCGATGAGAAGGTGAGCCAAGCCGGTGGCGAGGCCGGGTGGGGCAGGGCGTGGCGTGGCGGGGCGTGGCGGGCTCAACCTCGCATCCTTGCATCATGATGTCGGTTTGGGCGGATCGGAAGACACATTATCAAGCACACGGAGACGGTGCGGGCGGCGCAATAAATTGAGCAGAGTAAACACGGAATGTCACCCCGCCCCGCCGCGCGCCCGCCGCGCCCCGCCGCGCCCCGACGTGAAGCGATGGCTGACGTGGGCCGGGCGGCGCGCGCGAACCTCGTGCGTCGACGCGTTTGATTCATAACCGGAGCGGCGCACTTTTAATGGCTCATCGCAAAAGAGTGTTCTGGAACGGTTTGGGTCCGGCCGCCGCCGCCGGCCTCTCCGGGAGGGAAGTGGGCGGCGGCGGGGTGGGGTGTGTCCAGGAGAGCAGATCCGGGGACCCGAACCGAAGGGTAACTTCGCCTTAAACTCAAGCGTGCCTCGCGGTGTGATTCTTCTCCTTGTTTTTTCAATATTTTTAAAAAAATATGATTTTCCGTGTTTGTTATTTCTGATTTTTTGGGAGGATGTAACACTGATTTCTTTTTCTTTAGTGAAGTGCCCCTCGGGGGCACCTCGCTGGCCGCCACCGCCAAGACCACGATCCTATGTAATTCTAGTGCAAAAGAGTAATTGAGTTAGTCCTTCAGATGCCTTGACTCATGCTACTTTGTATCTCGCGGGTGAGTAGTGGCGGGTATACACTCCTCCCCGCCCATATCAAATCCAATCAAGCCCGATGGACGGGGAAATGAGATATCTTGCACGCCACTCTGGACGTATTTATTCCGATCACGACGACGGTGGTGGAGGCATTGGTGGCGGTGGTTGTAGCAGTACAACTTACTCTAGTGCTTTCATTACCCCCCGCCCCACTCCCTCGCTTTGCGTGTGTGAAATATATAAGTGCCTTTTCCTGCCTGCGCGCCCTCATCCTGTGCGAAAAGGTGAACCCGTTTCCCACGCCGCTTTGTATTAACACCTCTAACGTGTCAGGGTTAATGGGCGGGCCCCTTCTGGGCTGGGAGCGCGCCGTCGCCTCGTGCCCCGCATGTCAAGCAGAGCGGCTGCTTGCACTACCGCCTGCGCGGGTAGGCCGTGGCGCGACCGCCGCGTCCCGCTGGCGGACTACCCCGCGCTCGTCAGGCGCTCCGCCCTGTGCTTTTGCCGGCTCACGCCAAGGGGTCCCTCACTCACAGGAATCATGAATCACTCCAAAAATTCAGGCAAAGAAAAATCAGAAATCTAGGAATCAGAACGAAAAAAGTTTAGAAAAAAAAATCGGAAAAATTTAAAAACAAATTCAAGAAAATAATCGGCTCTCGCTGACATTGCTGGGCCGGCCGTTCGTCTGATCGTCTCGCTTGGTTTTTCGGTTCGATAATGCGAACCGCCTCTGATGATGGCCTGCCGTACGCGGCGGCGCGGTACTCGTCCTCAAGGAAGCCTCCATTTCCCTTCCCGCCCATCGCCATTATATTTCATTTCCCTGAATCTCTCTCTCTGCCGGGGCGCTCCCCTTCTGCCCGGGTCCGTACCAATTCCGTGATTTCATGCACATGCCGGTCACACACGAAGGAGGCTGGTGGCTGACCATGAGCGTGTGCGTATCTGTATGTGTGTGTGTGATGATTGCAGCATTCCGGTACCTCACGCAATGAAGACCCGTCGAGAGGGAAAAATGAAGGCAAAATCGGAGGAAATGTGTTCGTCTGCGCGCGAGGTGCTCAGAGAGAGAGAGAGAGAGAGAGAGAGAGAGAGAGAGGGGATCCCTCTGCTGACGCAAGTGTGTGCCGGTCGCACCCCCGGATCGAATTGAATCTGCATCTGATGGTATTGGGCCGGAACACCGCCGTCCCACCCGTCGTGGTCCCTCGCGACCGCGACCATGGCCAGGGCGGCTGACAGTTGCGTCTGGAAAAGTACAGAGATATCTGCGCGCTCTCCAGGTCAAAATGAACGGCTCCATATCATCAACGTTCGGCCGAAATCGAATTGCGCGTGTTTTTGAATTCCCCGTCATTGCCCGCGCCCAAGCCCGGCGCTGTCGCCAGTGAGATAAGAACCCCCCGCCGTGACACAATCTCCCGGTGCGGCTCCTCACGACACGCCGCGTGCAGTCATCGCCGCCGGCTTTCATACCGCTCTCGTTTTCAGCCCAGAGTCGCCTTCCCCAGTTGCACCATTCCGTCGATCATAGGCACGCCCCCCTTCCCCTCCCCACGCCCCGCCACGTTCGCCGTGGCCGTTAATGAATGAATAGATCTAATTGGTGTCCAGCAGCTGTATCGTGCCATCGGGAGCGTCCGCGCGCCGCGCGCCGCAACTGTTGCGACAACGGGCGGCAGTTGAGGCGGTTCTGATCGGGCACGTCGTCAGCGGAGCCGGCCTCGCGCGGCAGAAACAGACCCGCTCCGCGGAGGCGGCACAACTACCCTTCGTTAATGGACTTTCTTACGCGACCGACTGTGTTCCTCGCGGTATATATATATATATATATATATATATTTGGTGCAGAAACATATAACTTGTCCGACTCGCGCGGTTGGGCCTCGGCATCTGCTCGGCAAAAATAGACTACCTACCATTGGCCTCGGGAAATATATATATATACCACTCAGGCAGCAGCCTACACAAAAATATGCATCAGCCGAATCCATATCAATCAGAAACGAAAATTAAAAAGCTGTAAACCTCGGCGCGCCCCGAGCCCGCCGGAAAGGTTCTCGAGTGGGGAGAGCAGCAGCAGCCTCTTCGTCCTTTTGATTGAATCGTCAGCAGCGCGGCGGTGTGGCGGCGGCGCGCGGGGAATGGCCGAGCGTTTGAGTCGCGGACCAGCGGGACTGGGCCGCGGGTGTCTGCGCTTGACCGGACAGTAAGTGGAACGTGAGGCGCTCGTCCTTCGGAGGCCTTCGGAACCCCGGCGGGACCGCTGCGACAGCTGCACTCACCCTAATTACCGAAGGCCGAGGACGCCTCAAGTTGCTGAGCTGTGCCTCCTCCTCCTCCCACTTCCCCCCTCCCCTCCTCCTTCCTTCGCCCCTGCCACCTCGGAGAGCCCCCGGGGGCGTCGGGAAACTTTTGCGCGCCTTACGTTTCGACAGACGTGACGTGCCTCGCCGGTGCAGCGGTGCACGTGTTCGCTGCACTGGGCGCTGCGCCCCCCCCCCCCTTTTCTTCCCGGCTGACGTAGCCGCAGGCCCCTCCCTTTGTACGCCACATTGCAGGCACATTGTGGTCATATCGGCGGCAAGGTGACGTTAATTTACCTCCTTTCTCCTCAAGCTCCTGCAGAGGTGCAGGAGGGGGGGGGGGGCTTCACCGTTTAGAATTTGGTCGCGCCACCTCACTTTGTGCCCAATGATAGATGTGCAGACCGGGACGAAAGTTAGGCGTTGTTGAGTGGGAGACCTCAACCCTCTCAATACGCGGATGGAAGCAAAGACTATGGGTTTGGTATTTGAACCGCTCGCGCTACGGCAAACGGCTCCCGCGCACATATGTACCTTGAGTGTTTTCCACCCGGTGACTGATTTATACCGCGAGCTACCGTTAGCCTTGTCGAGTAGTGCGAGATGCTGGCCGGTGATCGGTTCGGGTGGCAAGTTCTACGCCGAGACGTGTTTTTGCATTAAAAAACTGAAATGAAACCGTCGTTCCCGCTCGGCTCGCAGCGCTCGGCTCTCGCGGCTGCTGCTCGACCACGCTGCTTCTCGTAAGACTGGTAATCGTTTTGTCCCCAGCTGACGGGCTACTAATGGCGGTATGCAAATGTTTTTGCCAGGGGCTGTCGAGCCATGAGACGGTAATCACACCTACCTGTCCAACTACTCGCGGGCGACTGTCGAGGCACACACACACACACACACGCACACATTTACTGCAACGACGCTCGCGGCATCGCGAAAAACTCGGCAAATGTGTCGATGTGCACATGTGCGCTGCTATGTATTTTTCTTTCTTTCACAACGCGCGCGTTATGCACGTGGACCACTTTGCTCGGTCCGTAGAGATGACACCCCGTTGCATTCACAATATGCAGATTAGTAGGTTGCTCTGCCCCGCAGCGACTAAGACGACGAACGTGCGCCACATATGCATTGCGCGCGGAGCATTTTTCATACCGGGCGCCGGCCGTTGGCTCAGAACGGTGCATCTGAGGAGGTGGCGAGGGGGAAAGGGAGGGGGCGGAGGGGCTCTGCTTTGGCGTTTTGCAAACGAGCGCCAGTATGTTCTCGCAGCGTTTCGGGCAGTAGTTCTGACCAGGCCGTTCTGTTTCTCTGTTGCAGGACGTCCAATGAGTGCGGTGGACTGGTGCGGGTACCCCCGGCTCGGCTCGCTGCCGCATGTGACGATGCGTGAGAAGGACTCGTCCCCGCGGAAGATGCTACTGGCGTCCGGCGGCAGCGCCTCGCCCAAGCAGGCCTCCGTGTACCCCGTGGAGCCGCCGCCCCACCCCGCCAAGGACGCCAACGGGGCGGCGGGCGCGGACGGTGACGGTGACCCCGACGACGACATGATGCCCTTCGACCTGTCGCGCAACCACCGCGGCTCCGGTTCCGAGGCGTCCGTGCCGGCGCAGGCCGAGGCACCGCACATGTCGCCCGCAGCCCGGCCGCAAGGCGACGACCTGGGCGACGAGCAGCCGCTCGACCTCCGCGTCGACCACAAGAAGGACTACCAGCGGGGGCGGCAGCTCGAGGACGAGAACCAAAACGTCATCATGCGATCGCCGTCTCCCCTGTCGGTCGGCGGTAAGGAGGACCACGACGACCGCGACCTGGACGTGGATGGCGACGAGGACGACGACGACCGCAAGTCACCGTCCAGCAGTCCAAAGAGCCCGAGGAGCGTGAGCCTCAAGAGCCCGCGGCCCACGCCCTACCCGCTCGTGTTCCCCCACCAGACGCTGCACCCCTACATGCTGGAGGCCATGTACCGCGAGAAGGGCCCGCGCCTCCCCATCGGCTACCCGGATGGCCACCCGGCCGCGTACCCAGGCGGGCCGCGGCCGTACCAGTTCCTGGGCGCGAGCCTCCTCGACCGGTCGCCGCTCCCCGGAGTGCCGCCCAGTGCGTTCCACCCCGCGCTGCAGCCGCCGCCCACGCCCCCCGCGGCGCCGACGCCCACCGCCAAGTCGTTTGCGTCGGAAGGTGCGGCTGGCGGGGGCGGGGCCGCCACCGTCGGGGGCAAGCTCAAGGACAGGTACTCGTGCAAGTTCTGCGGGAAGGTGTTCCCGCGGTCCGCCAACCTGACGCGCCATCTGCGGACGCACACGGGCGAGCAGCCCTACAAGTGCAAGTTCTGCGAGCGCTCCTTCAGCATCTCGTCTAACCTGCAGCGGCACGTCCGGAACATCCACCACAAGGAGAAGCCCTTCAAGTGCCCGCTGTGCGCGCGCTGCTTCGGACAGCAGACCAACCTGGACCGCCACCTCAAGAAGCACGAGACGGACGGCCCGACCATCCTAGACGACCGGGAGCGTCCCTCGGTGCTGCCGCCAGGGCTGTCACCCGGAGCCCCCGGGGTCGGCGACGACTCCTACTTCGAGGAGATCCGGTCGTTCATGGGCAAAGTTAGCGCGGACGGCAGGATGGTGCTGCCACTCGCGCACCAAAGGACGCTCCTGCCCATGGCAGGCTACCACCCGGCCAGCCACCTGTACCCCGCGCCGCCCAGGGCGCGGGACGCCCGGGACAGGGACACCCGGGACAGGGACACCCGGGACGCAAGGGACGGCTTGAATGGAGCCGACCCCTCGGGGACGCCGCTGGCGCTAGTGGACAAGAAGCAGCGCGACGGCAGCACATCGAGTAGCAAGGACAATTTCTCATCGAGATCGTCGTCGGCGTCGTCCGGGTACTCGGGGCGGTCGGCGTCGCGCTCAGCGTCGCCGGGAGCCCTGGCCCAGAGAAGCTCGGCGTCGCCGCCCCCCGGGCGGGGTGGCGCGGCCCCCGCGGACTCGGACCGCGACAGCCACGGCGAGGAGAGATCATCGCCGCCCGACTCGCCGGCCAGCAACACCTGATCACGCTGCCGGCCTCGCGGACGGGCCTCTGCGGCCTCTGCTCACTGCCGCAGATCACTTTCCTTCTTTTCACTTTCGCTTGTCTCGTCGACAAGGGAATCCAGAGCACTGCCTGAGGGGACAGCGGGCCTGGCCGGGCCTGGCCGGCAGGTTGCTGGGTGTGGCTGCCACCGCGACTGCGCCAGCCTCACCGCGCCCGCCCCACCCTGCCTCGTTGCCCCGCCCGCCTGGCATAGGCTCGGAGGGGCTTGGCTGGACGTGTTCCCGGGGCGGGTGGTGCCAGTAGGCGGTGTGGGCGCTTGCCCCGCTCCGCACAGGCCGCCGTTCCGCTAGAGGACCTACCAGGGCCTGCCGACAAACGAATCTTTCTGTGATTAGCCTCGCGTAGGGTGTTAAGATAGTGACGGCAGTGCGTGTAATAATGTGTGTTCAACCACGCCACTGTGCCTTCCATGTGCAAAAAAAATGATCTTCAATGTACTCGCTAGCCTCTCCCTTGCACACCGTTTTGTATTATGACCGAATAAAAGAAATGGAGTGAAACTAACGACAGCAGACGTGCGTACATAATAATAATTTGTCAAACAAAAATTTATACACTGTGTGAAATTGTTTATTTTGATACGGTGCTAGTCAGAAGACACGATGGAGATGAGGTAGTTCTAGGCTGTGTCGATTCTCTTGGCTTTCACCAGGGTTCGAACGTCTATACCTTTCTGTTTATGTATGTTCGGCCTTCTTTGGTCGACTCTGGTGTTTGGTATGCTCTCTTCTAGTACTGTCCACTTGGTCTAACTCATTTTTGTACATCCCCCTTTTTTACGATTACGTTTTTATCAGGGCAATTGTGGCCCTACCTTCGCTTTGTTTAGATAATTGACTCTTTACCATGCACAATAAATCGTAATGTTATTATATTTTGTAGATATTATTATTGCCTTTGATTTTGGTAAAAATTTTGGCAAAATACACTATTTTGTGAAACCAGATTATTCTTTGTGTCACCTTGTGTTATTTTCCCCTTCCATCAAATTTGCTCACACGCAAGTCACATGGACAACAAACATCGAGCTAGAGGTACAAGATCAGGAACACTTTAGAGCGCTTTAGAGTAAGAAATCCGGACACTTTTTCTTTCTTTCTTTTTCACCTGGAAGTCATAAATTTCACTTATCTATTTATGTGATTGATTAAGTGAATAGAATGGAAACGATATCCTTTATCTTTTAAATGAAAACTCAAGCTGCCGTAAACACAACGAAGAGTTCTTCTTTGATGACGATACTTAAATTATTTAGATTTCTTTGGGCGCTCCTCTACTGTCCGAAATGAACGAGATTGCGCGCAGAGGCAAGCGGACAGCACTGTTCAAGACCTGCCGCAGCAGCAGCAGCGAGCGCCGCGGCAGCATCGTCCGGGCTGATCAGTCTGGTACAGGATGCAGAGCGGTCACCTAATGAACCACCGTCACCGCGCCGCGCATGTCGCGGGGCTGTGTCCGCAGCAGCGGCGTGTCGCTGGACCCGCAGATGGACTGCAGAGCACAAAGGGTATGACGCAGCAGGCTCAGGCCCTTCTTTCCTCTTGTAAAAAAATATTTAAATAAATAAAACCAAACTAACTAAAAACAAAAGAGAATCAAAACACGAGTTTTGAAAAATAAGATAGCACTTACTTAAGACGGTCCCATTTAAAAAAAATAAAAAAAATGCAAATATTGACAGTGTGGGATGCTAGGTTAGCCAGGCCACTAGCCGCTGGTTGCCGCGGGGGGTCGGACCGACGTCGGCCTCGCGGAGCCCATGGAGGGCGTGAGCACCGTGGCGTCCATTCCAAACGGTATTATAACTGCTCGCTGGCTGCCCTCGCGCAAGGTATGAAAATCAGAAACTCGGGGCCTAACGATCGTGGCGGCGCTGCTTTCTTCGCTCCGCGGCCCGCCGCCGCCGATCCGCCGATACACAAACTGCACCGCGACATGGTCAGGCCCGGAGGGCGAGGCCCTTGGGAGGCTCGGGCGCGCGCGCCGGGGCACGGACCACCGCGGGACAGGCCGGAGAGCGCTCGATGCAAAGGTATGAAATGCCTGGTATGTGTATCCAGTTTCAAGGCAACAAGTGTCGCGCTCACTCACTCTCACGCGAGTGCTCCGATACTCCCGGCGTCCTTCTCTTTCGCTCAATTGTATAGGATATCCGGTACCCGCGCCACCACCGCTGCCACGCAGCTGTGTGTGTGTGTGTGTGATGTATATCAGCCTCTCTCTCCCTCTCTCCCGCCGCGCGCTGCTCTCCCGCTGGTAGCCATCTCTCCGTCCCGGCCAGCTGTGTACCCCACCCAGAGCAAAGCTGAGCAGTCCCGCAGCTGCAAGCAGCTGGCAGAACTGGAGCAGCGGCTGTAGAGTCCTGCCGTCCAGGTATCTTTTATTAGTTATGCTGATGAGGCGCAAAAAATAATTGGCGAGCTGGATCGGCCGTAGCAGGGGAGGTTGTCTCGATGCCCGGGGAGGTGGAACGACTCTCTGCAGGTTGAAGCGGAGACGCGCGCGCGCCTAGGTTTGAACAAACGCCGAGTGTGGAGCCCGTCTTGGAAAGACCAGTCCACATCGACCACCGCGTTGTAATAATCTTTTTATTCTTCCCACATTAACGCACGAGGGTGTGGTCCTTTGGAGGACGCAAATCGGACTTTCTTCGCGTTAGTGTTTGTACTCTCAGACCCCGCGAGCAAACATTTTAGAAACAGACAGACCCTTTCATGAAAATGGCGAATATCGGGGCCATCCGGAAAACAGTCGGGCCAGCAGATCCGAGAACCACCCGGGCGAAGCAACGAGCCAGGGCGCAGCCGTTGAGCTGAGCGTCGCCAGAGAAACAGGCCCGCTTCGCCGAGTTGCTGAATGGCTTGGGGAGCAGCTCTACGCGACCCTACAGCAGTGCGACGGAGACAGACGGGCGCGCGCGCGCTGGTCCGCTGGACCGTGGGCGAGTTACTGCCCATCGACAACGGCGATGGCCCGATATCGCGGGAGTCGATATCGGCGCCGCGGAGCGCCCGCCGTCCTTCACGTCCCGCTGTCCATCGATATCCTGCCGACCGGCGTCACTTTGGCTGGATGTCGTCTCCGCGCCACCGCCTCACGCCGCATCGGGCGCGCGACCCCTCCATCACTTGGCAGCCCAGCTCCGCTCCGCTCTGCTAATAAACACGGCGATACACAATACCGTTGTCGTAACGGATGAGCCTAGGCGATGCGTCAGTGTCGGCAGCACGGTCAGTCCGTCAGTGTCAGCGGCGTCAGCGGCGCCCCCGGCTCACGCGTTTATGATTTAGCTACAGTAGGGAGTGAGGGATAAATTGGACATTTTGACGGGGTACGTATCTTTTTCTTTCATATGGCAGACTTTTCTCATTTAGAGGGTGGGTGCATTTCATTGGTTCCTATCTCATTTCAATAAAGTCATTGAAATAAATTAATTGTAAGCTGGAAAGCAAACGTTTTAGCTGTACGGGGCATTTCATTTGAAATTGCAAAGTTGATGTATCTAGAAGCAGCGAATTCTTTAATTGATGTTGAGCTTCGAACGAGGAGCTTTTGAGTGCAATTTTAGGTCGTGCAAACGATATGGAATCGCATATCGGTTCTTTCCTTTCTGTCCCGTTGTGGACCCGTCCAGCAGGGTCTATAAAATGGTAACGACGCTCATGCGCCCAGACAGGTGAGACCCCGCGGGGCTCTGCGAGCTCCGGACGGCGAGCGTGTCCAGCAAGCGTCCAGGCGATTCCCTCGCGCCCGTCTGCCTCACATGACGCAGGAATAATCAGCAAGACCATGTTACACTACCGTATAGATGCGCTAAAGGGGTTGAAAGAAGAACCAAACATCTGGACCAGAGTTTACAATAACGGTGGCATGAAAGTGAGTGGTACATTACTGTCGACCGGTTTGGGTCACAATAAATTCCCCACACCCCAACGACATTGGCAGAGCGGCGGAGCGGTCGCATCGCATCGCGACGCGTTTCGTATTTGGCGGCTGTGATGGGGTCGTTAGTGACCGGGAGCTCGCGCCACGCTCCGCGCGCCGCCACGCCGCACCGGCGCGAGCTTTATGTCTGTGTTACCAGCGTGGCGTAAGGGCCGTGCCTGGGCAGGTGTCGGATCGGGATCAACCAGATTCAAACGTATACTTTCGTCACTTAGAGCGAGCGCCGCGCCGCAGTGCGTCAACTTGTCCGCCGCGGCGTCGCGGCGTGGGGGCGACGAGAGCCCGCGCGAGAGCGAATGTGACGAGCGCCGCCGCGGCGCGTGTCACGCCAGTCACGTCGACGTCGTGGCGGGGATCTCGACCGCGGCTGAGGGGGCAAGGTGAAATAATGACAAAAGGGATGAAAAGAAAATGTTGTTGAGCAGAAAGAGGCTGGCAAAGTTCATATTTTGTGCAGTGTTGCTTCGCTTTATATATTTTATTTTAAATTTCTTTCTAGCTATCTTGAAATAAAAACAACTTCCACCGCATGGATTTTGCGGGAAAGCCGATATTGGCGATCCAGTCTCCATATCTAGGACGTGGATGATCCCCGATCCCACACCACCGCAGGCAGAGGCGGACCGCGCGGCCGCCGCCGCCGGCAGTGCGAGGAGGCCGTCGGGGGATCGGGTTACCCTCCTCGAGTAAGCCCTGCTGTCCCTGCCGCGCGCGTTGCTCCAGACCACTCCACGACGGCCCGCCTGCGGTCCTCTCGCCTCGGCGTCCTCCGCGGACCCCCCGCGGCCGGGCAGCCCCACCGCGCCGACCTCCTGACCACTCCGCATGTCCAGGCGTTGTCCGCTTTCGTCGCGTCGCATCCCCTCCGGGTGGGTCCGGGTGGCGAGGCGGGGCGGGG